CAACAGTAAGCATTGGAGCCATCTGGGGATGTGCCGTTCCTTACTTTGGTGCTCAGGTAATTTTGCACTTTCAGACAAAATTCACGCATTTTGTGTTTATATTATACATTGCATTTCGAACAATTTCTGTTGTTTTTGAAAACTATCAAAGAACTAAATATTCTTTATTAAATAAAGTTTAGGCGAGAAGCTATTCTTTACAATCTTCTTAATAAAGATAATGTATTGCGCAATTATCTTGTGAAGACCTTGACAGCCCAGTGCTCAGAAAATCGGAGTCAGGTCTGAAGGTGACAGGGTTCGATCCTCGACTCCGCTATGAGCCTCCGAGTACATGCGATATGCGTACTCGTTAAATCTGTTGGATCGAAAGGGGGGAGGGGAAACTGGGAAAATTTCTTTCCCTTCAGATCTACAGTTCTTGGCCAAATTATTAGATGTACTATAAAATTCTATGTACAGCCCTATTGTTTTTACTCGACTAAAACAGGTTTGCACTTGTTTACGTTCGTGTATCAATTGATTAACATTGTAATGCAATACGTTAAAAATAAATACAAATAGGAAGTACATAAAAATCTCCTGATTAAAAACCCATTACTTGTGCGTTTAAATATTAAATTGTTGCGTACAAACTCATGCAAAACATGTAATTATTAAAAAAATACAGTGCGTCTAGTAATTTGATCTAATTATTATTATATACTAATATAATACCTGATATAATAAATATTCTATATTTATATAGTATATCGTCTAATTTATCATATCGTTGAATTTATATTATATATCGTTTAATTTAACTAACGTAAACAAGTGCAAACCGGTTTCAGTTGCGCAAAATCAAAAAAACTGTATAGTATTACCTGATAATTAAGATTTTACATAGAATCTTATAATGCGTCTAATAATTTGTCTACATGTCTAAATTGAGGAAGTGGCATCACGATTGAGTTATGCTGCCATCTTTCTTTCTGTTCTCTCTTGTCAAACGAAAGGCACACTATTCTGACTTAATTCGCAAAAATCAAATAACTGACCAGCTTGGCCTGTCCAAGTGTCATTAGAAACAACACAATTATCTTAAGCAATTCAATGAATTGAAGATATATTTTTTATTTGAAGGTATTTCGAGAACTGTTCAATTTTCTTTCGTTCTCTTGCATTATACCTTCATTTTCTAGTTTTCTTAAAAAAGTATAAGACTGGTCATAGTTTTACGCAAAGCTTACACAAAAAAAGAAAACGTAACTTACTTAATAAATGCGAAGTAGTTAATAAGTTTAGAATTAAGTTTTAAGCCTTATTAAATAAAATAATAATCAAAACCAAAAGTAAATAAAAGTAAATATCTTTAAACGAGAAAAAAATATTTTACACGGAAAAATATAAATTTTTTTTAATTTTACACTAAGGACAATTAAAGATAATATTTGTTCAAGTGGAAAAAAGCCTCTTTCCGTTAAATATTCAATAATATTAAATCACGTTATAAGATTTTCTGTCATTGGCTATGTGTAAATATGACATTAAGATTTTATGATATAGAAAAAAATAGGAACTTGTATTTACAAAAAAATCCTGATGCAGTAGTATCAAGTCATAAAAATTATTAAAAAAATCTAATAATCAAATCATTATAAAAATCATGCATTTTATTTGATAAAATGCTCATTCGTTCTTTCTTTTAAAGAGCATAAAATTATTTTCATTTAAGTAAAACTTAGATGAAAATAGATTAAAATGAAAATATATTAGATTTAATTGATTTGTTATACATTTTAAGGGAGTTTCTTTTTCAGGCGGCAACAAATATAATAAGCAAAATGGAACCAAAGTTTCTAATAGTGGTTGACCGCCATCTTGATGGTGGAAAAGAATATAATATCCTTGATCACCTGGAATTTATGGTGGATGGTAAGAATAAGACTCATTTTTATTTCACTTTTACTCATCCATTTAATTTTTTTACTATGCAGAAACAAAAGCATTTAACTTAAAAACGTATTAAAAGTGTAACCTTTATTCAGTGAATTTGAATCATATCACACTGTTAGAAATTTCTAAAAAAATAGTTTAATAACAATTTATTTAATTTTCATTTTACCATATTCAAATAAAACAGTCAAATAACCGTAAATAAGGTAGTAATCAAAGTGTTAACTGCGGTAAAATTTTTTTATTAACTACTTTCGCCTAATACGGTTAAACTATCAGATTTTTAGAGCCCTAACTAGGCTTCTGTTTTAGAGTTTTGTAGTTCTATAGTTTTGTTACAGTATCGTATAGTTCTGTATTTTTGGTTTTTCCACGCTAGTTGTAAATGTTTTCAAAAGCGTAAAGGCAAAAAATGTTTTTTTTTTCACCGTAAACTTTACCGTTAATAGGACAACCAAACTGCTGCTGGTTATTTCACTGTAATTTTAAAGTGAAAATTCTTACAGTGCATGATGTTATAAAGATATATTTACATAATCAAATCTATTAAAGGAGAAATCTTTAAATTAAACACCTACTTTTCATTCGTAGCTTAATTCTTTTGTTTCTTTCAATACAACTAAAAGTATACAAAAATATGTACATCCGTGATGCAATACTAGTGATATATGATACTTTTAAATTATACAATGATTATTATATAATACTGATATGATATGATGATAGATAATACAATTAAATGATACATATGATGATATCTGATATTGTTATGTGATAATAAATGTTATATAGTAAATTTTTTATTTTTATGGTGTTACATAATATATTTCGTTGCATAGGAACACCTTCACTAGAAAAAGTAATTATAGTGCCTAGTAGACGTGAAACTTTATCAATGGATATCTCCCATATCAGAAATAGGTAAGATTAAGCGCTTAATTTTTTAAATTAAAGAAAAATTTAGTTCGTAAAGTTTGTGATGATTTTACACCGAAGAGCCATTACATTATGACCACCCTGCCAATAACATGTAGGACCACCTTTAACCCTCAAAAATGCTAGCACCCGCCGTGGCATTGATTCCACAAGATGCTGATAGGTAGTCTGAGGTATGTGGTATCTAGAGCTCACCAACTGGTCCTGCAATTCCGTCACATTGCGAGGGGTAGCGTGGCAGCATGAATCTGGTTTTCCAAGTAGGACCACAAATGCTCTATTGGATTAAGGTCAAGTGAATTTGGGGGCCAAGACATGACTTGAAAGTCACTGGAATGTTCCTCGAACCAATCCATGACGATTTACCGAAATCTTGAACACCACATAATGCAGTGCTTTTGCCAGAATTTTTTTTCTCCGTGTATAGGGCATCGCTTTTTTTGTGGTTCTTGTTGTCAAGAATTACATTTAATTATGGTTATTACGGGGCGGTTGCATTGATTGCAAAATTTATTTTACCCCGAGTAAATGCATTGATTTCGAAATACTTAGATAGAAATAAAATTTTGATTTCAGACATTTATATGCGTTATTTTTCTTCTTATAGTTGTTTCATCGACAATTTCTTAGAAACTGGAAAACTTCAGGATGGTTCAGTTCCTCCATTAGTTTTCGAACAACTACCCTCCAGTCATCCTGTTTTCTTGTCATTTACATCTGGTACGACAGGCATTGTCAAAGGGGTGGTGCATTCAGCAAAGGTAAGTATAAAAATTTATACTAGTGTTTTTTTTT